CAGAGGACACGGGGGTTCACCGTGACTCCAGCAAACACATTTAGTTTTGCTCCTCTATGCAAATCCCGTGTCTGCTGCCATTTTCGGAGGCCCCAGCAGCAGCTGATGGGGAGGGTGCGCCTTCTGCTGCGGGTGCTGTGCTGCGATGGGGACGGGGAGTCCCAATGACGTGCCAGGGGAGCAGAGCGTGCCGGGGTGGCCGGGGAGCAGCCAGGGAGCACCCGCAGGACCGGGGTGCTGCTGGCGGGGGGCTGGGGAAAGACAAAAAATTAAAAAAAAAAAAAAGAAAGCAATGACAGAGGAAACAGGTTTATCATCTCTCTGCAGATTGCTGGGGCTCAGCCGCAGGGGTTTTTTCTAAGCCATGATTCAAAATCATGCTGGGCTCCTCCCAGCAGCTGGTAGCCCAGAGAAAGCCCCGTGGCAGGGGTCTGGCAGCCCCGCTGGGGTGGGCACGGGGAGCGGGGACTCCCCAACTTCTGCTTTATCTCCTCCGGCGGGCTTGCAAGCTCAGGCGTGACCGCAGCCAGACCAGAGCAGCCATGTGAGATGCTGCGGGGCTCAGTGCTGCGGGCACAGCCCCCGGCAAACCCTGGGGTACCCCTGCACCCACAGGGGAACCAAATGGTGCCCAAGCTGGGGGAGAAAGGGGACAGGCTGGGAAGGGAGGTGGCACAGCTGCCCCGGGGAAGCAGCTGGGTCAGAGGCTGTGCGGGAAGCACGGGCAGAGCATCCATGATGGAGAGGTTGTACCCCACTTCTCCCTCGTGCTGACTACGGGAGCTCAGGAGCAGCTGGACCCCCAGGGACCCCCAAAGGACTCGGGTCTGGGTGGCAAAGAGGGACGAGGCAAGGAGGCTGCCAAGGGCCAGGGAGGTGCCCCACATCCTGCCCTGGGGCTTGCCGAGTGCTGGAGACTGGGGACCAGCCCAGCTGCATCACCGTGGATGGGGGGGACGGGACGATTCGGCGGGGATGGGACAGGGCACTGGCGCAGGCCTGTGAGGGAGAGCAGTCAGCTGCCTGTGGCCAGTTGCCAAGCCCAGCACCCTGCCATCTGAAAAGCCTTCATTTTCAGGCAGCAGAAAATCGACATCCTCCTTTCCGGAAGGTGACCTCAGTAGCGACGCAGCAGAGCAAACCACAAGGGGTGGGGGAGGCAACGTCCTGAGCCCCCCAGACCTGCTCTGCGGGGCATCCCTCTCTAGCCCCGGTGGGATCAAGACTCCCCCCTGCCTTCCCCAGAGAGACAGCGCTGCTGTGGCCCCACGGCAGCCCCCAAGGGAGGGATGACAAGGACTAGGGTGCTCAAAGGCTGAACCCCAAGCCCTGCTGCCCTGGCCATTGCTGCCAATCTGGCATCGGGTGCCCTGGGCAGGTGCTTGCCCTGCCGCAGGGATGCTGGCACAGCCCTCCGCACCTCTGGGATATTCACTCACGGAAAAGCAGCTGCCAGAAACCACCCAGGGTCAAACCCTCTTGGGGCCCCAGAGGGAAAGATGCTGAAAGCGGGTTTTTCTCAAAACTTGCCCAAGACAGGGGTTTGCGAGGGCGAGGAGCAGGTTCAAAGCAGGGCAAGCAGCTGGTGCCCGAGTAAACACAGAAACCAAAACCCTGCAGTGCCTGAGCGGCTGCTCCCCAGAGTGGTGACACTGCAGAACATCGCCACAGCCCATGCCAGGTGGGACCTGGTTTATATTTGACACTGTGGCCAGAGCAGCCTGCCAGCCTTCACCATCCCGCCATACTCTTCCTTTCTGCAGTGCCATTCCCCACCCACAGCAGGTTTGGCATCATCCAGGAACCAGCTCTGCTCTCGCTGCTTCACTTTTCAGACACTCAGGGGGGAAAAAAACCCTGCCACCCAGCACTGGCATGCCCAGCAGCGCAAGCCACCCAGTGCAGCCCTGTGATGGAGCCACGCATGGTCCCTCCAGCAGGCACAGTCCCCAACAGCACCCCAGCCCCATGAACACAGGGACACCCAGGAGTGCCCAGACCCGAGCTGAGCGGCGGTAGCAGCAAGTGCAGCCAAAACCGACAGCTTTTCTGAAAGGTCACTCTTGTGACAAGGCTCGTCACCTCCATGCTCATGAGATGAGCAGAGCAGCTCCTGGGGCACCTCAGGAACCGCTTTCTGCATCCCCTTTCCCCCTGCACCTTGCTTCTCTGCCTGTACCCCATGCCGAGGGTTTCCCAGCAGCAACAGGCATGCCATGGGGCCAGGGAGAGCCCGTCTCTGCCCCCTCTTGCCCTGCAGGACAGGGGGCTTGGGTGCTGCAGAGGTGCCAGGACTTTGCTTTGCTCCCAGGTCCTGCTTCCCCCTCTGTTCAACAAGCGCCTGGCATGGGACAGAAACCCTCAGCCTCCGCTGGGTTGAGGGGACGAGGCACAGGAGCCAGCGGGGACACCCTGCAGGGGAACCCAGCAGGCAAAGGCTGCTCCAGAGCTTCTGGAGGCAGAAGGGCGGCTCAGAACCAGAAATGAGATGGGCGTTGGGTAGGAGGTGACTCTGGCAAACGTCCTGCTAGGAAGCATCACCATCCAGCTCGGTCGCAGCATCCCGGCTGTGTGACGGGATGAGGCCAGGCAGCACAGCCTCGTGTGGCACGGCCCGGGAGCCTTTGCAGGCAGATCCCCAGGTTCATGGGGACACAACCCAGGCCCAGCGAGGCTGCTGGGTCTTTGGGGAGGCCAGGACATCGCGACGAGTTGGGGGTGCCCTCAAGAAGAGCTCCTTTGGCCTCCCCAGCACTGGGCACAGCTCTGTACGTGCGGCAGCTCCGTGCAGGCACTGCCATCTGCAGGCAGCAGCTCCAGGGCCAGCTCTGGGCCTCTCCCAGCACGGAGCCCAGCATAGCGACCCATGAGCCAGCAGCAACCACCCACCATGGTCACCTACGCCCAGCAGGGCTGCGGACCAGGGCAGGGAGCCACATCCCCGAGGCCATGGGTGCTCGCCCAGCTCAGCATCAAGCAAGCTGTTGGTTAACGCATGGAGAAACCAGCCACGGCTTCTCCTCCCCTCTGCCTTGAAGCAGGACAGGAGGAACTAACCTCATGCCTGGTTGCTCAGGAGGTGCAGATAGCCCCCAGCAAAACAACCCCCAGTCTACACCTCCCACACCAGAGCATCAGTGGGACCTCTGCCCTGTTCAAGGGAGGAAAAGGGACTATTTTGAGCACAAGGGAGTTGCTTATAAAGCGCTTGCCGGAGCGCCACACTGGCCCACGGGAGTCTTCCTTGCCTTCCTCTTTAGGCAAAGGCATTTGCAGCTTAGTGTTGCACACCCCAGGGGACACAAACCTCACTCCCAGTTTGTTCTGCTTCACTTGTGCTCTGTGCAAACACCACCACCACAAAACCATCGCCATAAGAATCTGCCCATGAACCTACGAGGCTGCTGCTTGTCCGCATCCAACAGGGAGAGATCAGCA